TGATATGTATGACTACTGAGTTTTTCGAGTGAATGTGATGATGATTTACGAATGGGGACTCGTGTACTTGTATTAATTGTTAGTTGTCTGGATTCTGTTAAAATACTGAGCTGGTTTTATACTTTTATCTGTCTCCATTGTTTTTTTGTCTAGTTGTGTTTGTGTAAAATGTTAATAACGGGAGTTTTATGTGTGTTCTAGTCTTAGTTATGCTATTGCTTCAAGTGATAGTTGATACTATTTGATAATGACATATGAGAATTGATGTCACAGATGATTAGTTCATATACAGAAATTGCTGAAAGTTTACAGTGAGCTAACCTTTGTAACTTGTAAATTGGTGCTGCTATTGTTTGTTAGTCTGTTTTTTGCTGTTTTTTTAAGTTTCTGGTGCATATATTGAGTAAGCCACATGAATAATCTTCCTTTGTTTGATAAAGACAAAAATTTGTTCATTTGCAAAAACTATTCCTAAGGTTTGGCGTAATTACAAGAAGGTTCAGTAATGTTTTATAAATTACAAATGCCCTCAACATTTGTTTTGAGTTTTCAGAAGTGAACATTAAGTTGGGATGTATCATGTATGTGAGTGATTGTACATTTTAAGAAACAAGTGGGGTGTTTTGTTGTTAAACCAAATATAGGATAAGTTTGGAGCTAAATTAGTTTATTTGCCAAAATATTTAAAAGGCCGTACGTAAGAAGCTAGTCTTCTCTTTTCTGGAAAAGAACATAATTTGGCAATAAAAAAAGAACTAAATCATTTGATTTTTCTAATCAAAATCAGAATATAATGAATGCTAAAGAAGGAAATTCAAACGGAACTTGAACATTGACATTGCCGTTTCGAACTCGAAACTAAACAAACTTGATAATATCAGTTGCAACAAGTCATGCATTTTTCAGGTGATAGTTTCCTGTACGGAATGAACTTCTGTTATGATCACAAGTTTATGGTTGGTAACTGAATGAAACTTATCTGCTCAATTTTGTATTATATTTTTATATCTATTTCATTTTTACATTATTAATATTATAGGAAGGTTTAATGTAACATATCAAAGCAAACATCACATGCACTGGTAGGAAAGAATAAACGCATTGCACTAACCTNAAAAAAAAAAAAAAAAAAAAATCGTGTTTGTTATTATGTCCAATTTTGAAAAAAGATCATATTTTTTACTTTATAAACAAGCCTTTGTTATCCAAATGTTCTTGTTACATTGCTTCTGGAAAACTATATTCATCTTGGCTAATAAAAATCTTGATTCATGGGTTTTGCCACCCGAGCTAATATGCTAAAAGTTAAATAGTCAGACATTCTTGTAACAACTATACATATTATAGATTGAAATCTTATATTTTTACAATGCAAACTACTATTTGCATCAACAAAAAACAAGGTTCACTAAAAGTGCCATAACCCAAGCAAAACTTGCTCAAAACATATAGATCAAACGCCAGTGCAAATGAGGATATAATGAACACATTGAATTCCACTCGACATTCAACAATACTTATTGAAATCCCCACAAATTACAACCTCTCCAAAACATTGGAGAGCCATTTTATATCAAAGCACAACCAAATTTCACACATATATTAATTACTTCATATATATTGCCTAAACCAAAAACAAAAAAGAAAAAAACAAAAAACATCACAAGAATTGAAAAACAACCAAATTCACCACCACCGTTAGATCATCATTCATCATCCCCTCATGCATACCCTCCCTCCTCTTGCCCTTCCTTCTTCCTAAGCTCCCTTGTCGTCGTCCTCCACCGGAAAAACGTCCCGAACAACACCTCCATATCCTCCAACGTCCTCCCCCTCGTCTCCGGCAACAACGTGAAGAAAAACAACCACGTAATCGCCGCTATCCCACTAAATAGGAAAAACGTCCCTCCAATCGTAATCCCCTTATACAACGATATAAACGACATCAACAAAATCCCACTCGTCGCCCGGTTCAGCGCCACCCCCACTCCGCAACCCTGCGCCCTCAGCTTGAGCGGGAAAATCTCCGAGCTGTATACCCACGCGATCGGGCCCATCCCCATCGAGAAAAAAGCCACCGATGTATACGTCATCAGCACGCACACGACCACCACCCAACCGAGCTTTTCTGCTCCGTGGCGCTCGATCAACGTTAGGCCAGTCGCGAGGGTCGCCATCGACAGACACAGTCCGCCGCAGCTCGTCAGGAGGAGCACGCGGCGGCCGACTCGGTCAACCATGAAAGTGGTGACGAGGATGAAGACGGTCTTGCAAATCCCGACGGCTATCGTCGCCAGAAGCTTCTTGTCGTCATTCGTGATTCCCGCCTTCTCGTAGATCCTCGGGCTGTACATTACAACGGCGTCGATTCCGCTCGCCTGTTGGAAAAATTGCAAGCCGAGCGCGCAAATCGTGATGTGGAGCACGGGTCGGGTTGGGTGGATGAAGAGCTCGCGCCACACGCCCTTGCCGCCGCCGCCGTTGGCAGAGGCCGGTCGAGCAGCGACGAAAGTGTCGTCAGCGTCGGCTGGGATTCCGGCGGCCTCCTTTATGTCGGCGAGGCGAAGACGAGCCTCGTCGGCTGAGTCGGAGGTGCGCTCAAGGACCCGACGAGCCTCCGGGAGGCGACCCTGCATGACGAGCCAACGGGGGGACTCGGGCATGATGAAAACGGCGAAGCCGATGAAGACGGCTGGGATGGCGCCAACGCCGAGCATCAGGCGCCAGCCCAGAGTCAGGGGACACTTGGCGAACACGTAGTTCGCCAAGTAGCCCAAGAGGACGCCTTGTGAAAATCAAAGATAGGTTGGTTAGGCTGACATGTAAAAATCAGGTCCACAAGTCTACATAAGAGGAGACATTAAATAATGGGAAGTTTGGACGGTGCGGAGCTGTGGCCAATAAGAAAGCGACAAAATTGTACTAAGTTCGGTCCATAATAATTGGGCCAATGGAATGGTGACAGCTCAGCTCACACTGGTGAAGACCAAAAAAAGTCCAATAGTATGCATGTGGTCAATCCTCGAGTCATGAATTTTAGCTATCTAATAAGTTGAAAATTTGAGATTGAACTCTTAGAGAGCTGTCCACACATTCCTCGATTTCTTTTCCCAAAATTAAATATTATATATATTAGCAAAATTTCACTCAAATAAAAATGAAAAACAAGAAAAGTTGTGTTGATATATGAAGAATTGTCCTCTAATAACTAGCACCAAACTCAACTTATTAACTAGCCATATCGAGTCAAATTATGTTAAACACATCAGAAAACTAGGCAAAAGTACTTATGTATCACCAAACGAGCCAAGACGTACTGAATAACAACTCGTTTTGTTTCACAACAACAAAAAAAAGGTAATTAACATACCGAAATTAATGAAGACCTCCGGGAAAGAAGTCAAAAAGCCACGGGACGAAGCAGGCGCCACCTCAGCCGCGTAAACGGGCGCAATCATGAGCGCGTACCCGACCCCAAGCCCGGCCACGAATCGGCCCGCCATCAGAACCCAATAGCTGTTAGCAAAGCCCATAATGGCGGCTCCGGCGAAAAAAACCACCGACGCCACCACAATCGTGAACCGGCGGCCCATCCAATCAGAGGTTTTTCCGGCCATGGCGGACCCCACAAGCGAGTAGATGTTGATGGTCCCCACCAATATCTCGATTTGCACGTCCGTCACTTTCAGGTCCCGCTGAATGTACAGCGTGGCACCGCTCATAACACCCGTATCTACATTTTAAAAACAAAATCATCCAATAAAATAAAAAAAAAGCTGGTAACAATTTTTTTTGGTCTCGTGGTTTTATTTATTTACCGTATCCGAGGAGAATGGAGGTCATGGACGCCATGACGGCGATGAGCATGGCGTACATGTTTCGCTTGGGCTTGTTGATGTGGGCTTTCCGGGGAGGCTCGCCGGAGGTTCGGCTGTTCGAAGTTGCCGCCGCCTGCTCGGCCATGGCTGGTTTTATTTGTTCTTTATTTGTGTGTGTGTGTGTGTGTTCTGTTTTGAAAGAGAGTGAGAGTTACAAAGCTACAGAGATGTGAGTGATTTTTGAGATGCTGTTGGGGGGTTTTGGGGGCTTATATAGTAATTTTTTGAGGAATATTTGGAAATTGGTAAATAAGGGATAATTAATTACTGATAAGGAATTTTAGTGCTTTAATTAAAAAAAGCGCTTTTTTGTTACTGTCTTTTTATTATTATTTTTATTATTATTATTTTCAATGATATGAAGAGTTAGGTAACTTGGGTTATCGATAACATTTGCAAAGTTTATGTTTTATTATTTGATTCCACTGTTTAAAATTATCCATGCCAATTGGGTGGAATCAACTGCTAATGCAAGAAATTAATGCAATGTAATAAATATGTGATCACGATTACAAGTGAATAATTAACACAAAACAATAAATTTATATTGCAATAAATAATATAATGAAATGAAAAAGGTTATCTTTATCCATTCCCTCATAAATTTTAGATATTTAATCTTGGTATATATGTATTTGTATTTTTTGATAGGGAATTTGGGATCTTGAGCTGATTTGCTATACTTTTGCAAATCATACTNTAAATAGTGTACTAAGGTATATTTTGTATATTTAACCAAAAATTAATTGATAACTGATAAGTTAGCTTACATAAACAAATTTCGAGCATTAACTAATTATTTATGGCTGCTATCTAAAATATTTCGAGCTTTAATTGTTTATGGCTATTATCTGAAAATAAATTTAATAGATATTATAAAAGTATTTGATAATAATAGCAGAT